ACTTGTTCATATGATTCAAGTTCATTTTCTGTAATTTCGTTATTTGAGATAATTACTTGGGGGGTTGAATTACTGCCTGATACTATAGCATCGTCATTTTCTTCATCAGAGGATTCTTTCAATTTGTCTTTTGTATTCTGTTTTTTAAGAATTTGTTTATTGCCAATGGGATCAAATTTATTTTTATCTTGTATTAAGTTTCTAGAAGTGGTACCATAGTTGACACCTTTCCTTCTAGTTCTAACGAATGAGCTATTGCTCATACTTGTCAGTTAGTTTACTAAAGACTAATGAAATAAAAACTAAAAAAAAAAAAAAATAATAAAAAACAATTTCGAAATAATTTTACTGCGTATTTTAATAAAATTAAATTTTTTGGGAACGAGTTTTTTTTTTTTTTTTTTTTATTAACAGTGTAATATATAACATAATCAATAGTGTATTCAATAGTGTAATGTACAGTGTAATAGATAGCATAGTGGAAAATGTAGTTAATAGTTTATACATAAGCATAATTCATAGTGTATACATTAGCATAGTCTATAGTATAATCTATTATAATTTCAATTATGTATATAAAGGGCTGAATTTCTCTTTGCTTAGTTCTCAGTTAGTCAGTTAGTTAGTTAGAGAGTTAATTTGATAGTTAATCCTCAGTTCCTTTGTTAATTCTGTTAATAAAATATTTTGTGATTTATCTTATAAATAATAAATACCTGTGTGAATTTTTATTTATACTGTTATAATTTCTTAGTGAAATTCTGTATTATTCCTTAGTGGAATACTGAAACCCTTGTTAATTTATACCTTGTTTTATGATCTCAGTATACAGTTTTTGTGTTATAATTCTCTACTTAGTGTTAGGAATTATCAGTTTAGTTTAGTTTATACCTTATTCTTTGTGAATAGTTCAGTCAAATCCTTATAAAAATCTCATAGCCTTGCCTTTTTTGAACAAATCTGTAATATCTAAATCTTTCAAATATCATACTTTTATAGTATAAATTAGTTAGTAGTAATATATTTTAGTTTAGCTATTATATCTTTAGCTAATAGTTAATCATATCTCTTGAAGGTTGGATCATAGTCAACAACACCATTAATTTTTAACCCTATTCGTGTATAGTTTTTTATTTTGCCTAAATACCATATCTCTTTTATTCTTGACTTGTTTTAGGTTAGGAAACTAGTAAGTCTGAAATATTTGCTACTGGTAATTAAACTTTCATTATGATTGTTTGTTATTTATTATCATATCTATCTACTTTTTAAATTAGATTGCAAAGCTTGAAAGATTTATGATCTTTTTTTTTGTATTAGTGATGATAAAGATGAATGGATGATATACATTCAATGAATCAAACCATTTTCAATAACATTTATTTCAAACTTAAGTTCTAATAATATTAAATATATTGATAATATTAATTGGAATGATAAATTATTTCACTTATCTAATTTTGCATTTGGTTTTTTAAATTACACACATTAGATATATTACATCAAGATTTTCATCCTGAAAATATAATTTAAATTAAATTTATATATTTCAGATTTTAGATTAAGTAAAATAAGTTTAGAAAATTCCAATAAGAGAAATATTTTTGATATATTACTTTATATTACTCCAGAAATTTTATATGGAAAAGAATATACAAAGGTGACTGATGTATATTCTTTTGGAATCATAGCTTATGAATTAATTACTGGGTTTGTACCGTATTAAGATGTGCCACATGATAGAGATCTAGCTTTACAAATATGTAATGTTTTACGACCAAAAATTTCACTTCATACTCCAAAATTAATTACTAGAATAATCATGACATGTTGGGATGCTCGAGTTATCCATCGATCTACTTTAAAGAATTGCATGAAGAGTTAGATAAAATCTATGATAATTAATTATAAATAATAATGAAATTACAATTCAAATTGATAATGCAAAAAAAAAAAATTCTAAAAATAAGGCTGATTAAGAGTTACAGTAAATATTATTCACTAACATAATTATTGCTTAATGTATTTTTTTTAAATCAGTATTGATATTAGCTTTAATACAAGTATTATTATTAAAATATAATAGAAATAATTTAAAAAAAAATTTTTTTTTGTATAAACATAATTCACACTTGAATTAAAATGCAAAATTGCAGAGTTTTATTTCAAATATCATATATTTTGTTTTATTAATAAGAATTTATTTCAACATATACGAATATATATGATATTTGTGTAAATGGTTATTTTGTTATAAATTAGTATATACAATTGTAAAATTTTAAAAATCAATTACAAGAAATAAATTCTAGAAGAAAATAGTGGTTTGTCATCGTGAGAGAAACATGGATAGAGCATTCATTATATGCATTTATCAAATGATTGTAATCAAAAGTATTGTTCAAGTTTAATTGTGAAATTATTTCATCAACATCAAGAATTAGACAAATTAAATTTAAAATTTTTCTAAGTAACAATTAAATGTATTAAAAAACTAAGATTAAAATTTTTGAATAAAATAATAATATGTATTTAAAATCAGAACTTTAATAATAAACTTTTGTGATTTAATAAAAAAAACTTCAATTAATTATATTTAATAAAATTCATTTTGAAATCGCTTGTCATTACGTGGATGACACCAAGCACTTCCAGTATTATCATGATGACATTCACTAAAAAATATTATTGATAATTGATTAGAGAATTGTTATATATTGTAACATTGATTTTAATAATTATAAATCTATCTTCATAGAGTCACCTATTTATTAGTAATCCATATAATAGGTAACCTCGAGAATTTATTATAAAACATTGTAAAAAATGTTCGTCTAGATTTATTTGCCATGTTTTAATTTACATACCTAATTCCATCCGATATATTTTCAGCAATTTTAAATTATTGTACAAAGATTACCAATTAACTTTGTTCTGAACAAGTAATAGTAATATTTAATTTTATGCTAATGATTTATTATGTCAGATGGCCAAGAATCACTTGAAACTATTAAAATTAGAATGGATTATGATAATAATCTATGGATATTTAGTAACGATAGGGTAAGAAAAAATTTTAAAGAGTGGTGTTGTTGTAAAGGAGCATTTCCATATTTTAGAATTCAATTAATTCAATTTGGTATGAAACAATAAAAATATTCCATGTAATATTTAATTAGAATAAAATCATTTGTTTTTTATAATTTTATTTTATGTTATAATATTTAGAAGTACCAATGCATTATCTTTGATAATTTATTTGCCCAAGAGAAGATATTATTATTTTAATTTCTTATTTAAATATTTTTTTTACAATTATTATTGTATTGGAACACCCTTGTTGAGAGTATAATACATAAAAAATCAATTAATTAATTACTTTAGAGAAATTCTTTTCTTGGATGATGAGAATGCATATATTTCATATAATAATGAAAAGATGTAAATATATATTTTAAAAAAAAAGGATATGATTTTTATTATAACTTTTAATTAAAATAATTTAAATAAAATAACAAATAATAATGATGATGATGATGATAATACTAAAATGTTAATTAAGCCATCTAAACTATCAAATAAAAATTTTGTACAAAACTTCATTGACAGTTGTAACCGTATTATCAAATTTATAGTATTCAAGATCAACTTAAATGCTTTCGAAGAACAACAGCGTTTAGGCAAAAGTGAAATTAAAAGAACTCCTACAAAATCAACAACCCATCACCAATAATGATAGAAGGTTATATTACAATTATTAAATGTAGAGATAACATTTCATTAAAAATAAATGATTATAATTTTAATAAAATAGAAAAATGTGATGATTTTAATAATAACAATAATTATTAAAAAATATTGTATCCATTTTATCATATTCCATCTAACTGCACAGATAGAAATTTTAATTTTTGGTACGTAATATTATTTGGTCGGCATATTGCTCTGATCTTATATTACGACTGTAAAAAAAAAAAGTGCCAATTTTTAATGGAGAGTGATGCTAATTTTAATCACGAATTATATGATAAAGTATTTTGAGCCGAGAAATAAATTAGAAGCCAATTCCTGAATACAGGAATAAATGATAGCACATTATACATGTTTACACAATTAATTTATATTTAATGTTTGACTCATTAAAAAAAACCCCAGATTCTTTTATTTTATTAAATAAATAAATAATTATCATTCTCTTGTTACAAATATTAATTACTGAATCAAGATTCCGTCTAACTTAAGTGTATAATGAGGATCCTTGTCATTTCAATCTGAAGGATCATAACAATTATACCATTGCTCTTCAGTCATACCAAAATAATCCTCAAAATCAAAATCATCAGAATCGTAATCATAGCCATCACGTTTCCTTTGACGTCTCCTGCGACGTCTTTCCTCTTCAGCCTCTTCGGCTTCTTCTCTTGCGAGCCTATTAATCATTTTTGAATATGTCCTTAAGAAGTTCTCTGACTGATACTGACGTAATTTTTCTTTACTGATATAGCGTACCACCTTTGGTTGTTTGATAACAGTAGGAGATTCACCATCATGTGGCGCCATCAACGATTTACCAGAGTGAAAGTAAAATTTTGGCATTGAAGAAATTTCGTCACCTTTGTCAAAATGCCAATGTTCAGTCAAAATCTTTGAATTTTTCGATGGTTTCGAGCGATAGGTTTCATGCCCTGCGCCAAAAATTCTAGAGACTTGAGGTGGAGGAGTTGTAATTGCAAATTCGATCAAATTCGGACAATTATTTAACCAACTCCAATCACACCCGGAAAAGTTCCATTTCACAAGTTCAAGTCGTTGAAAAGATTCAAGACGGGACTGAAATGCTTTGATAAGCATGTTCCCGGGCCCGTTTGGAAACACCAAACGAAGATTCAAAAGTCGTTTCTGGGCAGAAATGAGTTCCTCAAGATAATTGACCGATTCTTTAGCACGTTCATCCGAGGTATCGTGAAGATTGATATCGAGATGGGACTAGAGGAAGCAATTCAAAATATTAAAGATTTACATTGAGTGATGGTAATGATACGTGCCATTTATTTAAAGATATTATTTGTAGCTAATATTAATATCAAAGGAAAAAAATATGGGGGGTTTTTTTTTTTTTGAAACACACCGTTTGAGTGAACACATACCAGTCTCGTACAATTTTTTGCTAATGACTTGATTACATTACTTTTTGGGAAAGGAGTATGAATTTCGACATGAATAAGGGTACTGAATATTGGGGCATAGCATGGTGTTGTCCATAATCCATAAGCCCTTTCGTTATTTGCACCGGTATTCTCCATAATAAAAGTTTCCAGACGAATTTCACGGTCTGTTAACATTTGAAGTATTAATTCAACTGTTTTGATTCTTTCATATGTTCCTTTACAAGCCAATAAACTCGTATAATTGAGTTCTTTGATAAATGATGGATAATCGAAAAATGGTAGAACCTTTTGAGCTTCACCCTGAGCGGACGTAATATTTCCCTGTTCAAGAAACATTTCATAAATCTTTAGTGCAGTCACACTCCTTTTCTTGGTAAAACTAAATGGAGCTTTCCAATAAATTGGAACGACCGCTCGACACCATTCTCGGTTAACTAGAAGAACCGAATGTATATCACAGACATCCAAATATTTGAGAATAATTCTAATAATATCCTCCAACATTACGAAACCTTTATCAATGGATAAAGATGAAGTATTCTCCGTGTCCAGATATTAAAAACGTTAAATCATTATCACGTGATAGAGCGCCTTCATGTCATATTTAGAATCAATAAAAGCCAATTTTTAACATAAAAATAATATAAATGACAGGCGTAACAATAATAATAATTAATATAAATAACATAAGATAAATAACGTTTCCATTATCATTGACGTATTATATTTAATTTCGCAGATCTATTGTGGCTCTTCTTTAGCTTGATTGTAGAATATGTAGAATACATAGCAAAGAAATCTTTGGTGATTGATTTTTTAGCGTTTCAATAGTCTAAATTTAATTTTAATTTTTATTATTAAAAAGATAGAATTCTTAATTATTTTTATTTAAAGAATTTACCTTTCTAGCTCTAATATGAAATGATCATATGGAAACTTCTCAAGCATTCTTTTACATCATCATTATATGTGGGATAAAAAGCGATACACATTAATAGGAACAAAAATTACAGAAAGAAAAGAGCAATTATGAAAGATATCATCTTTATATTTTATAAATCATTAGCAAAGCACTATGAGCAGAGCACTGAAGCAATGAAGAATGAAGCAACAAAAGTTGTGATTTATATATTCTTCCACTAACATTTTAACATTTTGATATAATAATAAATTTTTATGAATAAACGAAATCATAAAAAAAATAATAAATTCACGTTTTTTTAACCGCTCCAAAATGAATTTTTATAAGTTATGAAAAATAAAAACAATTCTTTACTGAACTAAACCAGAATAATAGTCTCGGAAAAAATCTTATAAAGAAGACAAGAAAGTTTTTTGAAATGTAAAACTCTAACAAATTCCGAGAAACTTTCAATTTTACGAAGAAATTTATAATCAAAAAAAAGAGCTACGATCGAAATCATCCTTTCTCATTGACTTCACATAAATTTATATTTATAGTAGACGTTTGACCATTTTCAATGCAACAAATCAAATAATCTACAAAATATTAAATATTATCTAGGCTAAATGAAATTAAATATATAAAGCATATGCATACTGGCCTAAATAATAGTATCCGAAAGTGCATGATTAAAAAAATTATCGATACCACGAATTTCAGGTGTAAATCACCTGAGAAATTGAGCTCTTTAATTTTTCGACTGATCAATTTAGTAAAAACATGGACCATCCCTCGGTAGTAATGCTAATTTTAATCACGGAGGATAAAGCATGTTAATATGGAATATATTATTTATATTGATGTTTGACTTTATTAGGAAAAAACCCAGAATCTTTTATTTTATTAAATAAATGAATAATTTTCATTCTCTTGTTACAAATCATAACTACTGAAATCAAGGATTTAAGTGTTTCGAGGATTCTTGAAATTCAATCAGTCAAAAGTCATACTAAAATAATTCTCTCAAAATCATCTTAATCACCTTCACATTCGTAATAATCGTAACCATCATTTTCCTGCGAAGTCATTCCCATTCAGCTAGCCTAGTAAACATTATGTTAAATACCCTTTAAGTTCTCCAATACAGCACCTTCTTTTTTCTAGGATGAAAGTAAAATTTTTGCATTGAAGAGTTTTGTCGTCATCTTTGTCAAAATGCCAATGTTCAGTTAAAGCCCTTGACCTCTTGTTTTTCGATGGCTTAAAATTATAAGATTCATTCTCTGTACCCAAAATTCTAGAGACTTGAGGTGGAGGATTTGTAATTGCAAATTCGATCAAATTTGTACAATTATTTAACCAGCTCCAATCACACTCGGAAAAGTTCCATTTTACAAGTTCAAGTCGTTGAAAAGATTTAAGCCGGGACTGAAATTCTTTGATAAGAATGTCCCCGGACCCACCTGGATGCACCAACCGAAGATTCAAAGATCGTTACTGGGCAGAGATAAATTTCTCAAGATAATTGATCGATTCTTTAGCAAATGGATTGTTATTGTAGTAAAGATTGATATCAAGATGGGAGCAATTCAAAAATATCAGATTTACCAAGGGTGATGATTTGAGGACAATATCAATATCAAAGAAAACACTTTTTTTTTTGAAAAAAAGTGCATTGAAACATACCAGTCTCGTGCAATTTTTTGCTAATAATTTTATGAAATTACTATTCATATAAGAGAAATGTACTTCAACATGAATATGGGTACTGAATATTGGGGCATAGTATGGTGCCGTCCATAATCCATAAGCAGCACTATTTGTATGGACATTCTTAATAATAAAAGTTTCAGGACGAACCTTTCGGTCTGTTAACATTTGGATTATAGATTCAACTTCAACTTTATCGATCAACAGAAATAAGTTTGTATATTTAAGTTCTTTGATAAATGACGGGTAATCGAAAAAGGGTAGAACTTGAGCTTCACCATACGCGGACGTACTACTACTTCCCTGTTCAAGAAACATTTTATAAATCTTTAGTGCGGTCATGCTCCTTTTCTTGGTAAAGCTTTCCAGTAAGATGGAATAGCAGCTCGGTCAACTAGAAGTGCCGAATGTATATCACAGACATCCGAATCTTTGAGAACAATTCTAATAATATCATCCATTACAAAACCTTTTATCAATGGATAAAGGCATAAAAAATCTTGTGTACTCTTTAAACGTACATCGATATCACGTGACAGAGCACTTCTTTCAATGTTGAAAATAGACAAGCAGAAAAGAACGAGCTTTTTACATTATGAAAAAGTATAACGTATGCTGTAGATATATCACTTGATGTAGAGCGCGAATTCGGATCCTTTATTACAATGATCACCACTGTCCATTGAACCTCTTTATTTTCTTTATATTTTCTCTTTACTGCATACTATTAAAAAATTATCGCACCCTTATACCATTTTGATAACTTGTTTTTTCCTGGATTTAGATAATGCAGATATAGGTATATTTTTTTTAAATGAATATTACATCAGGAAATTTTTTTTTTTTAGGCGTAAATACGACACCTGCGTATATTTTACGATATTTATATGGGGCGTTTTGACTTTAAACGGAATATCTCTACGGAAATCAATGATACAGGGATGAAACACATATAATCTTGTAGCTCAAAACCAGGTCTTCCGATCAGTCATAAGAATAGCTTAATATAAAATCGTTCCCTATCCCACGAATCGCGATCGAAGTCAAAAAAAAAGCGTAAAATTACGGAAATTTGTACCGTGAAAATTTTTTCCACAATTTCTTCCGCCAAAAATTGCTTTTTTTTGACTTCGATCGCGATTCGTGAGATAGGGAACGATTTTATATTAAGCTATTCTTATGACTGATCGGAAGACCTGGTTTTGAGCTACAAGATTATATGTGTTTCATCCCTGTATCATTGATTTCCGCAGAGATATTCCGTTTAAAGTCAAAACGCCCATATAAATATCGTAAAATATACGTAGGTGTCGTATTTACGCCTAAAAAAAATTTCCTGATGCTATCTTTTCACATTTTGCGCCATTGACATGTGATTATATTTTATCTCTTTTTTGTAGCTGAATGGTCCCTCTTCTTGTATCAAAATGTTGTTATATAAAGTGGAGACTCTGTATTATATTAAAACAAATTAGTTTTTGTAAAGTTCATTCAGTAAGTAATGGAACCTATTGTTATTCTTTTATTTCTAAATACTACAAGTTGAGACAAATAAGACGCATTTGTTCTTATGCAGATATTCCAAGATGGGCAATATACCAAGTAGAATGGAAAGCGCATACGTAGCTCGTAAGGATCTTGAAGCATCAATAATGAAACGCGAATGCGAAGCTCGTGAGCGGGAATTTGCCTTCTGTGGAGAAAAATTGAAGAATAAATCTGATTTAGAAAGAAAGAAAGCCAATATAGAACATCAACACAAGATTAATGAATTAATAGCACAAAGAAAACAAACGAAATTACATGCTGGGAAAGAAATTTTGCTCTCCTATTTGAATATGATGACTTCAATCATTGAACAGAATAATACCGCATGTCATACCGCCATCTCACTTTCACAACTTAATAGTGACAAATTATCTGACTCAATGAAGTAAACTATCGAAATGGCTGTTGATAAAATTTTGAAGGTGTTACTTTATTTTATTATTATTTGCTGTTTTCTAAATTGTTTCGCTATATTAACAATCTATTGTTTTAGGGTTATATGATTCCTAGTGAGCTTCTGGATTACTCAAAAAAACAAGTTCAAGAACTCAAGCTTCAGCAAGACGATGAATTTGGACGATTGCTAGATTTCGCAGTTGATCGAGGAGTCATCACGACAGAAAATAAATTATATCTTATAGAGTGAAAACATGTAAATATCTAATGGATATTTTAGCATGTCCACTTTAATTTCTTAATTTCTTTGGTCTTGACTAGAAATGAGATTAAATATTTTCGTCGAATAATTTATGCAGATCTACTGCGCGTGTCCAGTTTTTCTGAGATTAATAAATTTTTTTATTTGATCAATAAAGTTATAATTTTCCCGAATTTTGGCCTTATTTTTTACGCTTTTACAGTTATACAGTTACGGTACTGTTTATCATAATCCTCAGCAATTGAGGCGATAAGTTTCTGTATAATCATCACTAATAAAAAAAAAATAGCAGAGGTCAAATGTGGAATAATAGCATAGCGTTCCAATAGTTTATATTTAATAATAATTTAATTTTTTTATTAATCAAAAAGATATAATTCCTAATTAAAGAATTTGCCTTTCTAGTTCTAACATGACATGATCATATGGAAAACTCCTCAAGCATTCCTTTACATCACATCATCATTCTATGCAGGATTTGGATTACCAAAGAAGTGGTATGGTAAACATGGAAAGAAAAGAACAATTAGAAATATGAAAGATATTTATAATGCTTATGTATTTTATTTTATTTATTTGATATATATTATTATGCTATTGAATTATAAATTATTAGCAAAGCACTGTGAGAACATTGAAGTTCTTCCACTACCATTTTAACATTTAGAATGATATTAAAATTTAGTACTATAATAAATTTTTAATTCTTGCCGAAATTTACTTTATGAATAAATTTTGGAAAAATACGTGACATGGTTATACCGTAATTAATTTGGCTCAAAAAAAAAATTTTTCACAAGTTTTTTTTTTATTTTTAGTCAACAGAGCCTCTCCAAAATGAAATTTTATTATAGGTCAAATTATGGTAAAATAAAAATAATTGATATAAAATCTTATTTAAGAAGACAAGTAAGTTATTTTAAATGTAAAACTTTAAAAAACTGGGAAACTTTCAATTTTACGAAGAAGAATTTATAAACAAAAAAAAAAAGAGCTAAGATCGAAATCATCCTTAATTGACTCATTTTCACATAAGTTTTAAATTTATTCGCTTGGTTAATATTTATTATTTACATATATATTTATTTTGATTTATTTTTAATTTAAAAAAACGGGGAAATCTAACAATCTAAATCTAAATGAGAATTTTATGTGCGAACGTGAGATGACAAGTGTAAGTGTTTATTCTCAGAAATTGTTACGTTCCTTATTATATATTAAATTTAATTCTCTTATTTATTTGTTTAATAATGTTTATAATATTTATAATAGACTTGTAAAATATCACAAATAAATACATTGATTAAAATACATTG